CCTCCCCTGCACCTGCACCCTCTTCTGAGGGATTTCCTAACCCTCCTGAATGGATTTGGAGGACACAGGCAAGCCCCACTGCACTAGCGGAAGTCCCGATGCAGGCTTCTGCGAGCAGAACGAGGTAGTTGAAAACCTCCCTAGTGGGAGAGGCGAAAGCATAAAAAGGATTAGAATGATTCTTTTGTGAAATCGCTTTGAGATATTTGATGGGAAGCAGTTCACAAACGAAAGCAAATAAAGTCGAAAAGTAAACCATCAACAATCCATCTCAGCAAAGTGACAAGAATAACGATGTGGAGAATGTGTTTCGTGGGATTGTTTGGAGTTTCCTTGATGTGGGTGGGGGAGCTCAGTTTGCAACTTGGAGATCCTGGGTTCCAATCCCTGCAGAACACAAAGCAGCAGCCTCAACCTGACATACCTCTCAAGGTTATTGTGAAGGTAAAGACAATCAGGGGAGTCCTCCAGGACTACAGGTCTCATCATCCCTGGCCACTGGCCATAGTGGCCGAGGCTGATGGGAACTGGAGTCCGACTACATGCGGAGGGCACTCCCTGAGTGGCAGGTGTGGAAGAGAATTCATTAAAAAATTTACCTTCTCCACGTTGCAGAGCTAAGCAACTCTACTATTTGCTGATACTGCTGCAAGAGAATTTGCTGCCCTGCACAGCGGGGTCCTGACTCTCTAAGGGGGTCTCAGCCTGGGACAGATGACCCTCCTGTTGCTTCTCATTTCCCAAGTATAAAGTCATCTCTGCCTGGACACCCGCCATTCCAGACAGATATGTCTGGAGAGCACCCACCATTCCAGCAGGGACATACAAGGGCTGTGGCTCCCCCTGCAGGCAGCTGCCTGGCAACACAGGAAGGAAACCCACTTGTTCCTTATTCTTGTACTTTTAATACATAAAAGGCTGAACTGGACCCCCAGCTCCAAAACCAGGTTGCTGAAGAGCTGCAGAACAGTGAGCGCAATCTGCAGTGGGAGAAGCAGCAGGCGTGGCAGTTTAACCCTTTACCCAATTCAAAACACTTTCCCTTGCAATGTGGCAAATGTGCATTCTAGGAGGGGGGTTTTTTGGGGGGGAGAAGGGGGGAATGTCAACCAAGAAAAGGGTTAATGGCCCACCTGCTGCTTCTCTGCTGCAGACCTTGCTCCCTCTGCCAGTGCTTCCTGGAATTAAAGCTTTAGGTATAGTCTAGCAGGGTTTCAGCCTGCTGATTACAGGTTGCAGACCTAATCTCTCTCTCTCAATCTATCGCTGTCTCTATTTCTAACTCTATCCAGATGTGATTTTGGAAGGAAGGTAGATGGGATCGAAATAAACCCTCAAGTCACTCTAAAGCAGGGGTCAGCAAACTTTTTCAGCAGGGGGCCGGTCTACTGTCCCTCAGACCTTGTGTGGGGCCGGGCTATATTTTGAAAAAATAATAATGAACAAATTCCTATGCCCCACAAATAACCCAGAGATGCATTTCAAATAAAAGCACACATTCTACTCATGTAAAAACATCAGGCAGGCCCCACAAATAACCCAGAGATGCATTTTAAATAAAAGGACACATTTTACTCATGTAAAAACATGCTGATTCCCGGACCGTCCATGGGGCGGATTTAGACGGCGATTGGGCTGGATCTGGCCCCTGGGCCTTAGTTTGCCTACCTATGCTCTCTTGCCTTCCCTGCAATCACGCAGTACAGCTTTCAGAGGGGCAGCAGTGCCAGGTTCTTGTAGCTAAAACCACCTAAAGGTTTGTGGCACCTTCAAAGACGAACAAATTCAGGGTACCGGTAATTCTAAATTGCAGCTATGTGTATGACCCAGATTGAACACTGCTCCCATGTCTTCTCTGCCAGCGCTATTATAGGACTCAGCAATGTCATCTGCAACACCAGGAGTTCATTTGTCTGCACATCTTGCAACAAGATATATGTCGTCATCTGCCAACAAAGTCCTTCTACAGGCCCATTTCTATGCAAAAGTTTAAATGGCAATATTGAGAAACCAGTGGAGGAATATTTCAACTTCCCAGGCCACTCTGTATCTGACCATAAGGGGGCCATACTGGGACAAAGGACCTTCAAAGGAAGACTGCAGCATGAAACTGCTGAATTGTAATTCCTCAAGAGGTTCCGTGCTATCGCTAGCGGATTGAATCAGCACAATCACACTGCTTACGTTAATTGGCTTACCAATGCCAGGATGTCTGTGCTATCGTCACATCTGTGCCTGCCTGTTTGTTTTGTGAATGGCCACTATTAAGGATATAATCACCACCATCTGTACCCTCTGCTCACTTCCTTTCCTTCTGACCGCACTGATTACAATTATACACACCCATATTCCTGCAGCTCGGAATAACACTTCATGCATCTGATTAAGTAGATTGTAGTCCAAGAAAGCTTATTCCATTAAAAAGAAAAATAGCCTTTAGGGAGCCAGTAGCCAATACAGCTTTTCATCTCTCTCTCTCTCTCTCTCTCTCTCTCTCTCTCCTCTCTCTCTCTCTCTCTCTCTCTCCAGCAGAGGTCACTCCAACATAGGCAAAGAGACCAAATGACTAAACACACCATCACCAGCTGAGAATACCTGCCTCCCTCCGTGCAGGAATGGGAATGGAGTCACTGCAAAAGAGCCCGATTACTGCTCTTTAAAACATACACGTGTCTTGGTTCCTAACCAATGACCTGAGCACAATCACTGATCTCCAGCTGTCCCCCGAGATGGAGACGAGAACTCTCCACAAGGCGGCAAATCGTTACCAGGCATGCTCACGTGGTACTTCGCATCGTAAAGGGCCAGGCACACATGCAGTGAAGAGGAGGCTGCCCTCAAAGGTGTACAGCAGGGACGAGGAACCAGTGGCCTTCCATCAGCCCCAGACAATGGCCAATGGTCAGAGATGATGGGAGTTGTAGTCCAGCAACATTTGGTGGTGGTGGGGAAACCGCTTCCCCATTCCTGGCATACAAGTTGAGGTGGTCTGATGGGCAAAAGATTCCCTCAGGCTCCCTTCCCTCCCTCTACAATTCTATGATGCACCACGCATGTGGTGGATCTGATCTCCTCAACCCACATACATTAAAGACTATATTCCTTCACGAGAGCCAGTGTGGTATAGTGGTTCAGAGTGGTGGACTCGTAATCTGGTGAACCGGGTTCGCTTCCCCGCTCCTCCACATGCAGCTGCTGGGTGACCTTGGGCCAGTCACACTTCTCTGAAGTCTCTCAGCCTCACTCACCTCACAGAGTGTTTGTTGTGGGGGAAGAAGGGAAAAGGAGGTTGTTAGCCGCTTTGAGACTCCTTAGGGTAAGTGATAAAGAGTGATATCAAATCCAAACTCCTCTTCTTCTTCTTCTTCTTCTTCTTCACCTATTTGTGGTACCAACCTGCCATTACAGTGGTACCTCGGTTTAAGAACAGTCCGGTCTAAGAACGATTTGGTTCACAAACTCCGCAAAACTGGAAATAGCGTTCTGGTTTGAGAACTTTACCTCGGTCTAAGAACAGAATCCGAATGGTGGAAGGGCACCGGCGGCGGGAGGCCTCATTAGGGAAAGTGCGCCTCAGTTTAAGAATGGTTTTGGTTTAAGAACGGACTTCCGGAACGGATTAAGTTCGTAAACCGAGGTACTACTGTATTATTATTTTTTACTAGCCTGACAAGACAGACTGAAAAACTAGCAAACTTCCAAAGCCAGCGAAACTCCCAAGCAAGGCTAGTGAGTCCCAGTTTCCCTATAGAACCTGACTCCCAACAACTTGCTGAAGCCTACCCATTTTTCTGCTGCAGCAGTGAGTGGGCAGAGGAAGGAACCATTGACTGAGTGGCAAGATGCTTTGGAGTGCATGTAAACACTTGACAAGCCAGTTGTCCTCCCCCCACCCCCCCACACCGGCAGAAGCATGATGGTTAATTTCAGGGTCATAGGTGGTAGCCCCACGTTGGGCAAAATATTCCTGCACTGCCGCAGTTCGGACTAGATGACCCTTGTGGCCCCTTCCAACTGTGCAGCTCTATGATTTGAGATCTCTTGTGATTTAAGGAGATGTGGTGCTGCAGCCTCCTTAAGTGACCCATTTGAAGTGTGTGCTTAAAGCAGGCATAGCTAGCTTCCCTGGCCGGGGTCTGCGTTCAGATCTCCCCTGGAGGCTGATCCATTCGGCTCTCCCACCAACCCCAGCATGGCCCCCAGTCAGCCCCCACCTGACTGCCTTCAGAACATGGTGCTGATAAAGCTAAGGTTGCAGCTTCGATCCCCATATGAGACAGGTAATAATAATAATAATAATAATAATAATAATAATAATAATTTATTATTTGTACCCCGCCCAACTGGCTGGGTTTCCCCAGACACTCTGGGCGGCTTCCAACAAAGATTAAAAATACATTAAAATGTCACACATTGAAAACTTCCCTGAACAGGGCTGTCTTCACATGTCTTCTAAATGTTCAGTAGTTGTTTATCTCTTTGACATCTGGTGGGAGGGCGTTCCACAGAGCGGGCGCCACTACCGAGAAGGCCCTCTGCCTGGTTCCCTGTAGCTTTGCTTCTCGCAGCAAGGGAACCGCCAGAAGGCCCTCAGCGCTGGACCTCAGCGTCCGGGCAGAACGATGGGGGGTGGAGACACTCCTTCAGGTATACTGGGCTGAGACTGTTCAGGTATACTGGGCTGAGGTGCATATTCCTGCATTGCAGGGTTTGCAGTTGATGACCCTCAGGGTCCCTTCAACTCTATGATACGACCTGCCATGAGCTCTCTGGCGCCACCTACTGTTGCTCTCCCTGCCTTCCACCCTACCAGTCCCAAACGGGCCCCAGCCATCACTTATCTCCAGGGCTAACATAACCCCTCTTGCACCCTCATCTGTGAGCCCTGGGTGCCTCACCTGGCATTCCCAGGGGCCAGGTGTCCAGGTCAAAGCCCCTTTCTCTGGTGGGGCAGAGGAAGAGAAGAAGGAAAGTAGGAGGAGTTATACAAACAGTCCTACCCGAGCCTGTACCTCCTGGGCCGGAAGCAGCCACGGCCTTACCGTGTTGAAACCTGCGAAGAGGCCCACGGCCGGCTGCGCCTCCATAGGGAACGACAGGAAGGGCTTGAGATCCAGGGGTTGCTGCATCATGGCAGGTGGTGGGCGCAGGATGGCCGGGATTGGGCCCGCCCGGCTCAGGCTGCCTAGGCAAGGAGAGACAAGGGGGAAGCATCAACAGTTTGCCCTGTGATGTGGGCGATGCAGAGGGTCAGGGCAAAGGGCAGAGGAAAAGAGGCTAGGACCAAATGATTTTAAACTTGCACAAATTTTACAAACAAAAAGGACTTTCTCAAAGAGACTTGCGGAGTATATAAAAAAAATATGCAGTAACAACAATCCATGAAAGCAGCAGCAAGGAATGCAAATGAAAGCTTAGGCTGAACAAGAGCAAAAATGAATGGTTGAAGATTCAAATCAAGCTATTATCAGCAACGCTGGACATTTCCAAAGAGTACAATAACTGGTTGTTGCACGTATCAATATCTCAAACTTAAAAACATCCAAATTCCCAGACAGGGCCTCACATTTCAAATCTGCAGAAAACTCATCTCAGACTATGCATTTCAGATCTGAGCTTGAATCCAACAGTATTTTTAATTTGGGGAGTGGACTAGAGAAATCTTTTCAAGTTAAACACAGATTTTGAAGGGTTTTGGTGGGAGGTTTTTTATGTTCCTTCGCAGCATAGATGAGATTGGCCCACTTTATTCTCACGCACCACAATCTTGCAAAGTAGGTTATGTCAAGACAGGGGGGGCTTCCACATGTCAGTTTGTCAGTTTACTGTGGACTCAGTGCTGCTCAGAATCAGCACATAAACACACAAATCCTGTATAAACAGCAACTCCAGATTAAACGGGTAAAATATAGGATGGCATTGTGACAAGGACGAGGTTGTGTGTGGACACTGTGCAGAACCTGCGTGCCCAATCAGACCAAGTCCACAATAAATTGCCGTGGGGAAACACTCAGAGAGAAATACCCAAGCGGACTTCATACTATTTGAACCCTGCGTCTACCCAATGGTGTCCAACATACTGTTCACAACATTAAAGGTAAAGGGACCCCTGACCATTAGGTCCAGTCGTGACCGACTCTGGGGTTGCGGTGCTCATCTCGTTTTATTGGCCAAGGGAGCCGGCGTACAGCTTCCGGGTCATGTGGCCAGCATGACTAAGCCGCGTCTGGCGAACCAGAGCAGCGCACGGAAACGCCGTTTACCTTCCCGCTGGAGCAGTACCTATTTATCTACTTGCACTTTGACGTGCTTTTGAACTGCTAGGTTGGCAGGAGCAGGGACCGAGCAACGGGAGCTCACCCTGTTGAGGGGATTTGAACCACCGACCTTCTGATCGGCAAGTCCTAGGCTCTGTGGTTTAACCCACAGCGCCACCCGCCTCCCTGCTCACTACATTACAGCATGCTGAATTGAGCACACACGTGCTAGCTATGTGTTTCATGCACATATCTGTCGAAGGAAACCAGCAGCATAAATGAGAGAGGTGAGTTTGCAGGTTTGCACACCTGATAAATTAGGCCTAGGCGCCGGTGTCCTGTGGCATGCTAGCTGGTAGTACCTGTCAAGCGCTACTGTCACAAGCAAAAGAAGGTTCCAGAAATACAACCCCAACTAAAGAATCATGGCAAGAAAAATTGATGGACTATGCAGAACTGGCAAAACTGTCATACAAGCTACGGGACAAGGATAACTGTGACTTTAAAGATGAATGGGAACCCTTTACAAAGTATTTGAAGACGCAACAAAGCGAACTGGACAGCTTGGCTGGTTTTGAATAAACATTCACAAACTTTTTATTGATAATAATCAGCTAAATAGTTTGAGGATCTATACAACTGTAACATGCAGAAAACAGCATTTTTAGAGAAATCAAAGACTGGAACTGAGGGAAGTCGGGGGGTGGGGGGGTTCTGTGGGGGGAGGGAGGGGAGAGAGGAAAAATGGGGGGGGGAATAAGGATGATATATTTCTGGATAATATGTTTTGTTTTAATTTTGAATAAAAAGTTATTAAAAAACAAAACAAAAACAGAAATACAAGCGGGTTACTCTTGTGGGTGGCAAGTGGATCCCAGGAATCAAACCCTGCATTTGCCTAGCACAGTCGAGATGTTCATTGTCATCTTGCTAGCTGAGACTTACAGAAACAGACATGAAATATATCCTAGAACAGCCAAAATAAGAGAACATAATGACTGTCCTGTGGAAGAATGTAAGCCCTTTTTGGATTACTTAAAGAAATACTCTATCATGATGAACTCACAAGCGGGATTTGAACTATGAGCAGCAGAAGGAATGAGAGATTATTGTATTGTTGTTATGACATAGGGCCTAGACTTGCCGATCAGAAGGTCGGCGGTTCAAATCCCCGTGACGGGGTGAGCAGTGGCGTAGCGTGGGTTGTCAGCACCCGGGGCAAGGCAAATAATTTGCGCCCCCTAACCCGTGGATTTGCGCCCCCTAATCCGTGGATCTGCCCTAACCCCAGATGTTGCGCCCGGTGCGGCTGGCCCCCCCTGCACCCCCACGCTACGCCACTGGGGGTGAGCTCCCGTTACTCGGTCCCTGCTCCTGCCAACCTAGCAGTTCAAAAGCACATCAAAGTGCAAGTAGATAAATAGGTACCACTCCAGCGGGAAGGTAAACGGTGTTTCCGTGCGCTGCTCTGGTTCGCCAGAAGCGGCTTAGTCATGCTGGCTACATGACCCGGAAGCTGTACGCCGGCTCCCTCGGCCAATAAAGCGAGATGAGTGCCACAACCCCAGAGTTGGTCACGACTGGACCTAAGGTCAGGGGTCCCTTTACCCTTTACCTTTCCTAGGGTGCAGCAGAGGGGGAGAAGTAAAAACACCATGGAAAACAGGGTGGGAAGTCAACAGAACAAAACAAAGAATTATTATGTATTGGAGTGTGTATGTTAAACTTCTGAAAGTTGCAAAAATAATTGAATTAAAAAGGAAACTATGGCCCTCTAGTTGTTGTTGGGCTTCCAGTTCCCATCAGACCCAAGAAGCATGGCCAGTTGTCAGAGAAGATGGGAAGTGTTGCCCAGCAACATCAAGAGCCTGAAAGGTTTGCTACCTCTGTTCTAGGGATGCTTTTAGCAAGCACACTCAGCCACGCTCCCCAGCACAGTGAGTCTTGGGGCTATGACTGATAAGTCCTTGCACATGGCAAACAGGTTGGTTTGGGTGCCATATACTTACCTTGCAGCTTTACACGACAGGGTGCAAATCTGCAGCACAAACTTGGAGCGCAGCAGCAAACTATACAGTTAGGGATGTTTTGAACTGGTCCAGCCCACCTAGAGCCAGATAGCCAATGGAAACACTGCAAAGTGTCTGACATCTGTGGAGTTTCCCCCCAAAAAGGCTTCTGCATGGGCATGCGCATTCCCTCCACCACCACAAGCACACCGCCAAAAAACAAAGAAAAAAAGCTGTTTCTCTCTCCCTCCTCGATTGCTTACATAACCATTTGTGCAGCCAGCCGTCAGTCCTGGAAAGTTCAGTGGTAATTGCACATCATCTAGTCGCCACTGTAAAGGCGGAAAAGAGCAACAGTGAAACTGGCATTCTTTCGCTCCCCGCTCTGCACTAAGCTGGGAGATGCCTTTTCACTGTGGAGGTGAAATTGGAAAGGGGTCTTGAGGTGAGCAGAAGAGGAATTGGTCAGTTTTGCCAGCGATCTTCGCAGCCCCTGTAGGCAAATCCCCAAACTTGTATAAGGCGTTGCACATCCATTGCGATTTGCTGGGCGCCCTCTGCAACATATTTATACTGATAAGGACCCCTACAAAGTCACAAGGGACGATTTTCTATTTCCCCAAAGCCTTGGTGTGCTTGGATGTGTCCTCCTAGAGCTTAATTCAGTGATGAAGCAAAGCAGCAGAATGCGTTAAGTAAAACACAACTGTGACGCCGCAAGGAGAGAGAGAAATCAGACCCAGACACTCACTGGTCCGCGGTTTTTGGGCCGTTTCCAACAGCAAGGTCATGAACAATCTCACAATGGAGGAGGAAGTGGATCGTTACAGTATTGTGCAAGGGGATTGCAAGAGGGCTAAGATTGTTAGAGCTTATTTGAGCCAGAGAATAATTTGAGAAATGGGGAGGGGCTGGGGTGGGGTGGGGTGCTAAAGCCTGCATCAGCTGCAAAATTCAAGCTTTGTCAGAAGTTCAGGTTTCGTTTTTTAAAAGCAAGTTTCTAGTCCTTATGGCTGCAAATATATAAATATATATTTAAATTATATGTATGTATATATGGCAAGAAGCCTGCTAACAGTGTGATCCAGTAAATGCCTACTTAAATTAAACCAGTGGGGCTTACACAGCCTAAATCTCAGAAGCAAAAGGGGTAGCTGAGTAAGTTTTAATAACAGGATATCATTGCCCTTCATAGTTCCCACCTCCACATACCCCACCCCATAACTAACAAACCAGAATACGTAATGAAAGATAGTGAATAAAATAAAATGCAGAATAAGTAAGGCAGTCTGCAAAAGCTTGCATACTATATACAGGTTGCAAAATTCAACCTCTCTGGATGCAGAACTTGGATTTGCCTGGGTGCATAACTGGATTATGTCTGTATGACACCCAGTCCTGGGTATACACTTGTACAGATGTTATAATATATACCAATGCAGCACATTTATGCAAATCAAGTGAAGCTGCAGCACAGCTGCAAGTATTAAATGATTAATTGCTGTGTTTATATCAACCACAAGCTTAACATGCAGGTAAAAAGTCCCCACCGTCAACACATTGCCAGATCACAGGGGCTGACAATAAGGAAACTCTGGCATTACGCACTTTCGTAAGGTTTCATCTCTATCCAGAAGGGCCGACACCATCCTTGCTGTTCCACATTTAATGTTAAACCACTCCTCACACCCAGCTTTGCCTTCTGGCCTCTGTAAAGAGTGGCAGATAGCTGAACACAGCAAAAGGGTAACATAAAATTATGACGCTCCCTTCAAAAGCCTCAAAAGGCTTCCGAGTATAAAAACGAACTTAAATGCAAGTGATTGATTGACCGATTGCTTAAAAGCCAGACAGTTAATCGATTTGAAACAAAAAACCTTTGCTTTGGATGAGAGGCCTAACTTGCATATGATATATCA